AAGGAGAAGGTGCCAGAGGCCATCTTTCCTTGTCCCCAGTCTGGCCTGCAGCACCACCATCCACCTCACCTCCTGGCCCGGCTGATTCTGAACTCTACCCAAGTCCTCGCTGGAATACCAGCTCCAAAACAGGTCGACAGAGTGATGGGAAGGGTCAAAGATCAGGGACAGCTGTACAGATAACCTGAGGATGAGCTGGAGAAATATTATTCTGTGTCTGGGGGCTTACAAGGTTCTGAAAGAAGCATGCAATAGACCTGGGTTCAAATCCCACCTCCACCCTTTTCTACCTGCATGACCTTGGGTAATTCACTTAATCTCTCAGAGGCGGTTTACTCATCCATTAAGTGGAGGTAAAAAGCCCCACCTCAAAGACTTGTTGTGAGGATTAAACTATCGACATACCTCATTTATTGCACTTTGCTTTTGTGGGGACACTCACTTTATGGCGGTGGTTTGGAACCAAACCCACAATATATCTGAGGTATGCCTGCAATTTCTTTCAAGCAGCCAGCAAAGCATTTGTTGTAAGGAGTAATGAACCTCTAAATATTACTAAACTGATTATTTATATCTTCATCTTTATCTAATAGAGGAGGAGGCCTTCAGACTAAAAAGACCTTCAAAAAATGACAGCCCCTAAAGCACCAGGATGGAGTCGGCTCCCCGGGACGCTCACTGTGTGGTTGTGAATTCCCAGGTGAGACCCTGATCAGTCCCTTCCAAGTTGCCTTCTGCCCTCCTGGGCTGTTTGCAGTTTCTGTAGGATAGGATCCCATTTCCCACTGAGCCCGGGAGCCGGGGAAGGGTGGGCCTTGCAGCCCGGCCTTTTCAGAGAGCTCACATGACAACCTGGCAGGCGCTGCCGTCCCCAGCGAGGGCATTAGTAACCCAGGCCTTCTTCCGCAAACTCTGGCAAACAGTCTAAAGTGACAAGTGAAAACACCGAGTCCAAATTCTCACTGGGGCTAGGGGCAGAGGAGGCCAAAATACTTGACCTTATCAGGGTTAAATCATGGAACTGAATCAGACCTGCCTCAGGGGAAGGAGGCAAACTTCTTGCATCGCAAACCTCCGTGTTGCCTATGGGTGGTTTCCATAAACCGATTCGGAGCCACGGCAGAGAGAAAGGAGTCTGTGTGACTTGGTGGCTGAGGAGTGAACTGGACCAGGTATTTCATCTCAGCCAAAAAACACTTATACCATTTTAGCGCGTGCACACACACACACACACACACACACACACACACACACAGTGCCTGGCATCAAGGCACTTAGTCAACATGAAAGACTGAAAAGACATGGGGTGTGGAGGAAGAACACAGGCTTCAGATCCACCAGCACCAGTTAGTAACTGTGCAAACCGAAACAAGCCACTTGCTCTCTCTGAGCCTCAGTCTCCTCATCAGGAAAATGGGATAATGGCATGTACTTCGAAAGGTTCTTATAAGAAATGTAAAATAATCCATGTAAAAGCCCCTAAAGTAATGCTTGGTAGGTAGCATTCAGTAAATAGACTTCTCAGAATTAGACGTGGGTCTTCAAATACAGATCAGGTTTTAAATGTCAACTCTGTTTCTAATTCTTATAGTGTGTGTGTGGGGGGGAGGGGGGGACAATACAAAGAGAGCGTAAAACAATTGAAGATAATAATCAAAGAAAAGTAAAGAAAGATCTCTGAGGTCACACCTTCCTGTGTGACCTTAGACAAGTCACATACTTCTCTGGGTCTCAAAATTCTCTGTGTAAGTTGAGGGGTTGAATTCAGGCAGTGGTCTTCCAACTGTGCTCCCGAAACCCTAGATAGTCGGTGGGGATCCCGAGGGGCTGTCTTGGGCTAAGGAGGGAAACAAGTGTTCCCTCACACAGCTTCAGGAATCTTCTCTAGAGAGGCTTTCTACTGAAGAAACCATTCCTCACTCAGTCCTTAGCCCTTCGCAACCTAATGCTTTCCCTAAGGTCACCAGCTTCCTCCGAATTGCCAGTTCTCTCCAGGAACATAATCCAAGACTAGGGTAAGGCAAGGAAGGTACCTAGGATGCAAAATTAAGGAGGCCCTCACTCTCAGGTTTGTATAAGTCCGCGGCTGGCACCCACCTGTGAAGGCCTCCTTACATGTTGCACCCAGGGCACCTGGCCTCATGCTAGTACCAGCCCTGAGTCCCCAGCCCTTCTTCAGTCTCCATTCTCACTCGCCTTTGGCTTTTAGCACTGCCAGCCACCCTCTCTGCAAACTTCTCACCACTGCCGTCCAAGGCACTGCCTTCCATGGGTACAGTGTTCAGTGTTCGGCTTCCTTCTGGCTCCTCTCCTTCCTCCCAGTGAGAGGAGGGGGGCAAAGAGAGAAATGGAGGGGAGACAAAAGCATGCCAGGCAAGGGGAAAGCATGGAGGGGGCGGCTGTTGAGTCTGGCTTTTGACAGGCTGAGTTTGCGGGGTTGGTTGAAGTGCAACAGGCTGGTGGACAAGGCAGGTATGGACCTAAGAGAAGGGGTTGGGACAGAGATTTTTCTCCCCTCACCTGGCAGGATCTTCTCTCCCACCCACTTCTTTCCTTTCCCCACTGCCCCTGCCCAGGTCAGGTCCACATCACCTAATCTTGGCACCCTCCTTGTAGCCTCTTAACCCACGCCTGTTTCCCTCTCTCTCCTCCTCGCAAACTTACTCTCCCAAGTCCAGTTCTGAGTACTCAAGCCCTTCTCGGGAGACTTAAAACGCTGTCTTCTACATTTGCTCCACAAACTCCAAATTTCTAACTCTACAATATAAGACCACACTCCTTCCTCACCCCAAGACCCAAGCAACACCCCACCACATGCAGATGTGCCCCTAAGCTGTAGGCCACCTAATGCACCACTGCTCCCTGAATTTGCCCTGGCCTGCTATCCTGATTTTGCTCAGGTTCTTTACTTCCTTCAGTGTACCCTCACCCCAATTCTACCTGTCGAGTCTTTGTACCTTAAGCTTTGTACCCACTTTCCTCTCCTCCCAAATCCTGCATCCAGGCTTATCAAAGCCTGAGCTGTTTGCAGATGAGGGTACACTTCCCTTTCTACTCAGCCAATGATGTCAGTACAACACCAGTTCAGACATACTTCTGCAATGCTGCAGGTTCGGTTGCAGACCACAGCAATAAAGTGAATGCTTTCAGTTTGTGAAAAAATGCAACATCTGTGAAGTGCAATAAAGCAAAGCACCATAAAATGAGGTATGCCTTTTGCAAAAGCAAGGCCCTTGTGTGGTCTTCAGTTAAGAGCCACAGGGTGATAAACAGATACGTGCACAGCAGTTGCCCAGGAGACCCAGACACGCAAGTGGGTTACATGTAACAGTGTCTTCAGTAGGAAGTTTGTCAGCTGCAGGGAAGCAGCCATCTCCACCTGTTCATCTCTCTATTCCCTGATGCAACTAGCCCAGCTGTGGGCTCCAGCAGGCTCTCAGTAAATACTAAGTGCTCTAAATTGCCCTGGCCGGTTTGGCTCAGCGGTTAGAGGTTTGGCTCAGCGGTTAGAGCTCGGCCTGCGGTCCAGAGAGACCCAGGTTCGGTTCCCACTAAGGGCGCGTACCTCGGTTGCAGTTTGTCCCCGGCCCTGGTTGGTCGTGTGGGTGGCAGCCACCCGATGAGTCCCTTTCACGTCGATGTTTCTCTCTCTCTCTCCCATTCTATCTGAACAAAAAATGGAAAAGTGTCCTCAGGTGAGAAAATAAATAAATAAATCAGAGCCTCTTGCTGGGAGCACAGAACTAATTCCGGAAAAAATAATTATGGAACTATTTCCATGGAAAATCATTTTCTTGCCTTTTCCATGTATGGATGGGCTCACTGATGATGGAAAGGTTCTATTTATTTATTTTTTTTATCCTCACCCGAGGACATTTTTCCATTTTTTGTTCAGATAGAGTGGGAGGGAAGGAGAGGAAGAGAGAGAGAGAAACATCGATGTGAAAGGGACACATCAAGTGGTTGCCACCCACACAACCCAACCAGGGCCGGGGACAAACTGCAACTGAGGTACATGCCCTTAGCGGGAACCGAACCAGGGTCTCTGGGGACTGCAGGCCAACGCTCTAACCGCTGAGCCAAACCAGCCAGGGCGATGGAAAGGTTCTAAAACTGAGTTGTGCCTATGGTTGCACGACTCAGTAAATGTACTGAAAACCCCTGAATTTAGACTTAAAGCAAGTTAATGTCATGGAATATAAAGTTGTTTTAAAAAATTTGTATAATGAGCCCCAGCCGGTGGTTCAGTTGGTTAGAGCAATGTCCCACATAGCAGAAGGGTGTGGGTTTGACTCCCAGTCAGGCACATACCCAGGTTTCAGGTTTGATCCCCAGTCAGGACAAGTTTAGAAGGCAGCCGATTAACGTTTCTCTTTCTCTCTCACTCCCCCTGCCCCCACTCTCTCTAAAATCCAATAAAAGCATATCCTCAGGTGAGGATTTAAAAAACAAATCTGTATGATGAAAGTAGAATGTGGTTGCGAGGACTGGAGGAAAGTGGTAAGAGAAGTTGCGTAGTGAAAACAGAATTTCCATTTGTAAGATTTTTGCAAGATGAAAAGTTCAGGAGACCATTGGAGAACAATGTGAGTATATTTAACACTACAAAACCGTACACTTAAAAATGGTTAGGGTGGGAAATTTATGCAATGTGTATCATACCACAATAGAAACATTTTAAAGATATAAAATAAAATTTAAAATGTGTATAATGATCAAAACCACCATAATGATGCACTATGTTTGGTTACTCAATAAGCTGACTGAGTCATGAGCACCCCCAAAAACAAACGATAATAAAAAGACACCTGAAAGGTGTGCTCCCCATGCAATCCATGCAAGATGAAGTTACTGCTGCTGAACAGACAGGTGGTTGATAGTTTTATAGGTTGTTTGCTCATCTATGGGGAAAATATATATATACATCTCTATAAAATATCACTTTTCTGGAGCCACCTAGGGCAATGAAGAAGGAAGAATATTTCCTGTGACTGACTAACCTGGTCAAAGGACAAAAGAAGTCAGACTCTGGGGGCACCTCCAGAAGTGGTAGGAGGGGCATTGTCAGCAGGAGGTCTTCTTGCATCTCACTTTCAAAAAGCACAGGCTGAGGTCTCCAGTCACACAGCCAGACCTGAGTGACAAGAAGAGTAAGAGTCACACACACAACTAGTCATTAAAAAAAATGCAAATTAAAACCATAAAGAAATACCATTGCCCACCCATTAGCACTTTGAGCTGCAACTGTTCAGATGGCTTCAGAGACAGAATGATGTTCCTGGAGGAAAGGGACCCTACTTGTTAAAACTTGATTTGGGATCTCCAACCCCTGTGGGGGAGTACTTGCTGTAAAAAGCGCTCACTAACTTTGAGGGGCTGTGGAGGTCACAGACAGGCTTAGTTGCTTATGAGCTGTGAAATCTTGGGCAAGACTCTACCGCTGCAAGACTCAGTGTAAACTTCTGAGCATGGTGATAGAAACACCTACCTTGTTAGGTCACTGCAGAACTAAATGAGATCATGCAGACAGAGCACAAAGCACAGTGCCTGGAGCCATCATGAGCTCAGATACCCTTCTCTTCCCCATACTTACACCTAAAGGTCCTCAGAATATAAGATTTCACAGCAGATTTCACTGGCCTGGAGCACCAGACCCCTGCTGAGGAAGGGGGCTTAATTTCTAGCACCCCAGCAAGGTATCTCATGAAGTGCACGGGGGCTGTGGGAGCAGATGCAGAGGAGGGGCCCAGAAGGGCGGAGGCAGAGCTGGCACACAGAGACCATCCACCAGGCTCCCTTGCCAGTCCTATGCAAGGGTTCGGTGAGCAGGTGGCCTAAGGAACAGTGTCCCTCCCCCACAGCCTGGTTCCCAGCCTCCCCTGGAGCACAGACCTTTACCTCAGGCAAGAAAATTACCAGCTGTGTGACCTGGCTTCTTAAAATGAGGGTGTGGGACCAGATGGCCTCTATAGTCCTTCCCACCTTTGTAATTTTCTGAACTGCAATTCTAGAGTCAACTGGTGCTTAACCGAGACCTCACCTTCGCTCAGCACCTCCTTCAGGATCCAGGAAAGACGTGAGAAGGAACCGGGAGGTACAGAAAGCCCAGGGAGAGGGCAGGAGCTGGGGCTCCATATGCTAATTTAATTAGCTCTAATCTGCTGACAGCGGGGCCTTGAAGAAAGAGGCTTTTGTTTAAATTTCACATTTGGCAGGAAGTGCCCCTTCTCCTCGTCCCTCCTCCAACCACCCCCTCCCCATTAGAGCTCCTGAGTCAAAAGCTCTTATTTCAGTCCTGGCTCCCACAACTGGTAGCGCTGGGGCTTCCTGTTCACACTTCTCTGACCGACTTCTTGATTTTTCCAGCAAGGAAATTTGCCCCAGATGTTGGCCAGTAAATGGAGTTTTCAACCACCCTTATGAAAGGATGTCAGTAATTCACAGATTCCCCCCAAGTAGCAAAAGCCAATGGGAGAAATGCGACTTCTCTCCATCAATAAAGCAAAGGTTTCCCAATCAACTAAACCCCCTCCCTCCAAGGGCAGGGAGCCTCACAGCATGCAAAGCATTTCGTTTTCACTGTCTTATGAGATGATAAGAACAGATATCTCATTCTCATTCATTCGCTTAATGCATGCTTATTGGGCACCTACTGTCCGCAGGAGGGGGGAGGGGAAGATGCACGGTGGCGACTGGCCCATGCAGCCCGGCCTGTTGGTGGTAGAGCAAGCACCAGACCAGAGACGTGCTGGAAATCTCAGTCTCCAAAGCAGAACAGCCTGGTCTGTAGCACTGGATCATGTCCGCGGTGTAAATTTTCCTACCATGGCCAATTTCAAGCTGCCAACAATCTTTAACAACCAGTTTCCCAAATTCCTGAATATTGAAAAATCTGCTGTCAAGGGCCTCCAGACTAGAAACAAGTTCTCCTGGCTCCTGAGTGTTCTTTCTGCCTCATCTCCACCTCCACGCCGGAGGAGTCAACATGCTACAAAGGCTTAAAGAGTAACCTTAATGAAAATTACCTGGAGGATTGTTAACAGCAGTAGGATTTCAGGCATGTTTTATTTTCTTCCACATCAGTGGTTTTCCAAATGTCCTATGAGCACATATTACCTTTATAATCAGAACATATCTAGGTAATTAAAGACATTTTTTAGTGAGCTTAGTGGAATGTTTTTTAATAACCCCTCCTCCCATACAATTTCTGTTACTCTGTCTCCCTTGGGTTGGAGAAAGACAGAAGCAGAGATGGACACAGAGATAGACAGACAGACACAGAGCTCGACTTCCCTGTAGGACAGAACAGGTGCACCTAAGTTAAGCATTTACCTGAATCAGATGCAGCCTTACCTAAAGAATAAATTTACTACTGTTGGAGTTCAAATTTCACAGGCAACTGGGTAAATACAACTCCCTATTAAGATTCCAAAAGACCTGCTCTGAAAAAGCAAAGCCTCTTTGGCCACCAAATGACCTTGCCTCCCAATGGGCTGAGGTGGAAGCAGATGGTTTGAACCAGGAACAACTGCTCCTTCTTTCCTCAGCCTGAGAGAGAGGAGGAGGCTTTCACACACTCAGCAGCACCACTACCACCCCAACCGCAGGCATTGTGCTCTCTCAGTCCCCAAGCTGAGACTCCAGGGGTCTTACCTCAGCTCTGGGAAGGAGCTGTGCCACCAGGGCTGCAGCAGGGTCAGGGAGGCCAGCTCACTTCAGCTGGGCTCCATAGCTGCCTCTCTCTAGTCTGCTGGCTGCAGAGCTCTGCACCGTGGGCTCCACCTTGGCTGCAGAGAAGGGAGAAACGGAGCAAAGTTGCCTGTGAGCACCAGAGGTGTAGATGTTAATGCACACAGGAGGGTAAGCGCCCTTGCCCCTCCCACTCCCGGCCCAGGCCACGCCCACAGTGTCAGAACCCCTTCCAGAATGGCCTCACCTGAAGGTGCCAACCTCCTTCCCAGGCTTCAAACTGGCCATCTATTCCCCCAGACCTATCCCTTCTGGAGCTGAGTAATTTCACTGTGAACTGTAGACTAAGCAAAGCAAACCACTACAGTCACTGAGTTCTGGTGCTACTTACTTGCTGTCATTGGTAAGAAAAATAAGAGTGAACCCCAAGACTTGTGTTTAGATAGGCTTGTGGACAACTGATTTCAATCAACAAATACCTCAAACTTGTTCAAGTCTCCCTGTGACTTACAGTATATTGCTTATAATGTTACAAATGTGGATTCAATTTCTAATTTATCTTAGGAACATTTTTAACTGAGCTGAATTTTCAACCCATATACGGTGATAGCTGTCTGGGTGGCTAGCATTTGTTTTTAAAGTAATTGTTCTTCTTAGTGTCAAAGAAATTTATGTTCATTCTAGAAATTTTAGAAAATATAAATAAGTCAATAGAAGGAAAAAGTTATTCATTCTTTCTCCACCCACCCAAGATAACTACAGATAACACCTGAATCAGATGCAGCCTTACCTAAAGAATAAATTTATTTTATTATCTGGATTTTATTTTATTATCTGGATTATTTACAAAGATATAATAAACCCAGACAATTTATTGTACCATAAATTTACCCCACGCCCAAAGGCTGGACATGTAAGTCATATCCAACATTTCTTGTTAAGTACAAATAGTGCTTTGTAAAACTTAGTCTTTGGGGTAAATTCATGGTTATTTCCATAAGACACAGTCCTAGAAGTCAAATTGCTAGATCAAGGAGTTTCCGAATTTCTCATGTGCAACATTTCTAGTGGAAATGGGTGTGGCCTTCAGGGAGTCTGGGTTTTATATTTCTTTTTTATTATTATTTTTTTTTTTATCCTCACCCGAGGACCTTTTTCCATTTTTTGTTCAGATAGAGCGGGAGGGAGAAAGAGGAAGAGAGAGAGAGAGAAACATCGATGTGAAGGGACACATCGAGTGGCTGCCACCCGCACGACCAACCAGGGCCGGGGACAAACTGCAACCGAGGTACGTGCCCCTAGCGGGAACCGAACCCGGGTCTCTCTGTACCGCAGGTCGATGCTCTGACCGCTGAGCCAAACCGGCCAGGGCTGGGTTTTTATATTTCATGCTCACACTATGCTCTGCCCATCTACAATAAAATCCATGATAATAAAATGAGCTCCCCTAGAAAAAGGAGAAACATCTGTAACAAAAATAAATTAATAATAATTTAAAAAATGAGCTCCTCTAATCAAGCTTGGGGAGTGAGTGCATGAGTAAGAACTGGTAAGGAGGGAAAAAATGAGAACTACCCTGAGGAACAGAGCAGTGGTAATACACAGGGGTGGTGTCCAGGAAGGAGAGATCCCGAGGCGCAAAGAGAAACAAGCTGGTAGGAACTGACTGATGTCAGATGAAATAGAAGTTGAAGTGAGCCATTGGAGGGGATGGAAATGTAGATTCAGGGCAGATCAGAGCAAACCACAAAGGCATCAGGTGAGATGGAAAAATAAAGAATTGCTTGCAACGTTTGAGCATTTTACTGCTGTCTATTATTAATGCCAATAAAACACCAGGAGCCAGAGTCACTATGGGGAGAACGAGCCAGGCCAAGAAGAGATCTCTGCCTGCAAACAGAGCTGAGCTAGTGGCCACCTGGGAGACTTCCAGTAAAGAGCATTCCTTAAGGAACAGGAGCAAGGTGCTCTCCAGGAATGGGGACTACTGGGCTGCTAACCCACCTGCCTCTTTAACAAGAAAGAGACCCCCACTCTCCATCCCTCTCTAGCCAGCCTCTCACCTCCCTCCTTTTACTCTAGGCCAGACCTTCAGTGAGAGATGGATAATTCACCAAGTAATCTGTCTAAACAGACTTAATGGATTTCTGTGGCCCTGTGACCCAGGCAAAGACCCTGGGGACCCAAGTCTTTTGCCCCTTCTTAGCTGACCAGCCCCCTTGCCACTCTACCCCATGCACCCTGCACTGTAGCCACAGCAACTCACAGACTAATGAGAGAACATGCAGTTCCATTAATGCTTTTTAAATTCTTTTGAAGATGGCCTGCAGACCTCCAATGTTACCCAAATAAGCAAGTCATTTTACCTGCCCAACCTGCCACTACCCCACCCACTCATACTTTTGACCTCCCCGGATGATCAAAGGATGGAATTTTCAGTTAAAAACAACTCGCCCACAAATAAGGGAGCTGGCCCAATCAGACACTTTCAAAATTGCAACTATGAGAAAAGACTACAGTGAGCTGGTGGCAGACCCCAAAGCCTAAAGGGAAGGTAGTGGGGACCCTCTGAGAGAAGTGGATGTCATGCACGAGATCAAGTGATGGGGCCGTGGGGACCTGCAGAAGAACAGGAAGTTGGCCTGCAAAGAGAACAGGGCTGGGGGGAGGCAGACAGGAAATTGTGCAGATCCAGAGAAATGAGATGCCTGGTCACTTTCTAGTGGCTGTAAGGCTCATATGTACTTCCTACTTTTTTATTTTTGTAAACATTCCCTGAATCACTTCAATAAACCTCTGAAGAATTTGGTTTAGACCAGCTCTGGGGTCCCAGCTGACTCGGGCTCACTGGGGTCTCACTGGGCTGTGTGTGAGAGCAGGCAACTCGCCCATGAGCCAGTGTATGGCTTTGTGGTAGGGCTTTGCCACAAAGAATGGTTTTTTCTTTAACCTTTCTTCCTAACGTTGTGCTTAGGTTTTGATAGATGAGGCAACTGGAAGGAATAGCCCCGGATTCCAAGTGTAACTTTGCAGAAACGTGAGAAATAAACAACCTCAAAGCCGCAGAGACTATAGATTCTTGTATTATAAGATTTTTCTATTAAGTGGCTGATACTAACTCCTCCTATCACCCTATCAGCTTTACACAGTCAGCTGATCACAGGGTCCCCTTGCATCTCCCTTGTCCCTGAGCCACCTAGATACTCCTGGACTTCTTTGCAGTTTTAATACAGTATCTATTTAATGCACGACCCCATTGTAACCTGTGTGTCTTCTGCTCCCTAACCTCCCTCCTATTCCACAGGGGTTACTGGCTTGACGACTAGATTTGATTTCACTACTATTTTCCCCAGGCCTAACCAGCCATGTTTTACTTTCCTCTTTTCTCATGCTCAAGGCCGGTCCTCTACTTTATCCCCGCTGCGCTCACGCCTGCATGCGCTGTCCCCCCACCATACAGGCCCAGCAGCTCCTCAGCCAATGCCCTTTCTCCTCCCCCCTCAGTCAGACCTAGAAGCATCAGAAGATGAGAGTTGATAAGTGAGAGGCCGCCTCCGCCTCATGAACACCCTCGAGCCTCCAGCAGGTGTTTTCTTCGGGTGTACATTGCGTGCAGCCCCGACCACAGACCAGAACTAGTATTTACAGAGATCTCCGAGAACCAAACAAGTTCATAAAATGAGCCAAGAACATACACCCTAATGATTGGACAGCCCAGCATCCTCTGATGTAAGAATCCTCCAAGCAGGCCATTACTAAAGGGCTCGGTTTTGAGTCAGAGAATGGGTTGGCCCGGCACAGGGGCAGGGCTCTGGACCCGGGTCCTTGGCTTAAATGAGTAAAATGAAAGATAACCTGTTAACCCTGGAACCGTTATTCTACATCATCTGGGAGGTGAGCAGTTGCTCTGATTGTGTTTGGATATGGAAGCTAAATTAGCTAAGAGCTTTTATCGATTCTTGTGCATGAAACATTCCAGGATCTGGGTCTCTACAAATTTGCTGAGCTCTGCAGTCAGAGCAGAAGACACTGTACCCAAAATATAGTAAGAACTTCTGCTAAAATCTGAAAATGTCCTGGATAATTTCTGCCCTCCGCTCCCAGAGCTCTTGTCCCATATGAGTGGTTTACTGTGGAGCCCAAACCCAACATTATGGTTACCAAGGTATAACCAGTGTTCCTTTATATTTTTTTAATTTAAAACAATTGTCAATTATTATGTGCTAGGCACTCTACGTGCTAAATTATTCATTTATTCCTCACGCAATCCTATGAGGCAAGAGTGTTTTCTATTTTCAGGTGAGGAAAGGACTTAAGTAAGGAGTCCACACACAAAACTTGTGCCTAAGCCAGAATCCCACACACTGGCCTTCGTCCCCAAGGCCTTTCTTCTTGCCAGTTAGGATAGAGCCAGGCCAAGCTCTTTCAATAAAGGAGCTGAAATTAAAGATGAGATGAACATTGAACACACAGGTTCTGACAGAGAGAGAAATGGTGTAAGAATTCATTTTCAGAGAACCAGAAAAGGGAAGTGCTTCTGTCACTGCTTGCAAACTACCTAAGGGAAGGCCCTGCTGCTGTTTCTTTGTATTGTTACTGTGTTTTCTACAGCAAACAATCAATCAATTTTCATTGTGCCTACTTGAGGGGCCCATCTGGACACATGGAGACACTAGCCCCTTTTTCAGTCAACACAGTCCACATACATTATTTTAGGCCCTGCCCCTCCTGTGCAGGCCCCTAAGTGCAACAACTGTCCACTCTTAAAAATGTCTAGAGTTGTGTCCGTGTACCTAAATAGCATGTTTATATGGCTCTTTTTTTTTTTTTCATGTTAAATATGATTCATTAACATCCTACACAAGAAAATGAGGATTTAGCTTTTTTCTTACCACCATCCCACATACCTCTTCTACTTACCACATCCTCTTACTATAGTTATATTGTGAAAGGATAGTAAGGAGCTATGAAAATTCCTGGGGTAAATGGGATAAGAAAATTAAACAAGGCCAAACAGTTTGGGCAGCTTGCTGCCCGCTTGTGAATTGCAAGAACTTATCTTCCCCAACCAAGAACACTTGAGAGCAAGCAAATGTTTATGCCTGTCCTCCCTAATCAGAGAATATAGAGCTTCAATCACCCTGGCCTGGGAAAATAGAGAACAAAGACCCAGTTAATGTCATTTGTGCCAGCTAAACCCAAGGACAGATATCACTTGAGGGGGAAATGTTAGGGCAGGAAATGGGGAAAGGGAGAAAAAGAAGAGTTTATCTCACCCACTAAACAAAGAAGCCAGCTGACTTAGGACTTGCCAAAGAAGATGACCAAGTGTATGTACAAACATTCTGAAATAAACCACAATATAGAAGGGGACTTTGAAACCTAGTCTGCTACCCAAGATATCTGGCAGGGGAACTTTGAAACCTATAAGGGGAAGGGTATAAAAGCCCTTGAACCCCACTGGGCAGCACACTCAGACTAGCTCAGTTGCCTGCTTGTGCTTTATACCAAGTGTATTTTTAATAAATTTGCTTGCTTTGCTTCAACACTGCTGTCTGTCACCCATCTGAAATCATTCTTGCAAGATTGACAAGAACTGAGGAGGGGACATCCCCACCCCTCCGAGTCAGTGGGCTGTCCAGTAACAATAACATTTTTTCTATTAAATCAATACTAGAAGTTACATTATTATGACCAGATAAATTATTGTTCATAGTTCAGCCATGTGGTATGTTACAATTCCTCTCTTGTACATTTCTTAGTTGTCAGTACCTATCATTAATTCAGCCCTCAACTTTCCAATAGTTCTTTTGTTTTTTTTCAGCACCATTTATCCCCCCTATACCTTCTTCCACCTCCACCTCACCCCCGCAATCACCACACTGCTGTCTGTGTCCATGAGTTCTTTCTCTTTTTTCTGTTTGCTCAATCCCTCCATCCACCTCCAACAGCTCCCCGACCAGAGCTGTCAACTTGCTCTCTGAGTCTGTCTCAGTTTTGCTTGTTAGTTCAGTGTGTTCATTAAATTCCACATGAGTGAAATCATATGGTACTTGTCTTTCTCTGACTGGCTTGTTTCCCTTAGCATTATATTCTCCACTCTGGAACCTTGTGTCCACTTACTCCAATCAGAGCTAGTTAGTGGCTCTCTAATAAAGAGAACATCCACTTCTTCTGTCTGAATTTACTCCTTCACACGCTATTAATAATTTGTCCAGACATAAATTCACAGTTGAAAATAATTTCCTCTTGGAATTTTTAAGGTATGGCTCCACTATAATCTAGATTCTAATGTTAGTGTAGAATCAGATTTCTATTCTTATTTGTAATAGTTTGGGTTTTGTTTTTTCCCTGTCTATACACTTCTCCTCAGTTTTTTTAATGATATGCTTTGGTGTGGTCTTTTATTATTCATAGCCCTGGGCACTCAAGTTTTTCACTCTAGAAGCCCATGTTGTTCAATTCCCAGAGTTCATTATTTCTTATAATTACAATTGTATTATTTCTTGTAATTCTTGCCCTGTTGTCTCTATTCCCTTTTTCTGTAAGTCCTACTATTCAGATGTTCAACTTTTTAGACTACTTATTTTTCATTTCATTATCTTTTTTGTTTGACTTGATTTCTTCAACTTTATATTCCAAATTCTCTGATTTATTTATTTTTGCTATCATACTTTTAATTTCCAAGAGTCTATTCTTACTCTCTGCATCTTCTTTTAAAATATGATGAATTCTGCCCTAGCCGGTTTGGCTCAGCAGTTAGAGCGTCAGCCTACAGACCAATGAATCTCGGGTTCGATTCTGATCAATGGCATGTACCTCAGTTGCAGTTTGTCCCCCCGCCTGGTCAGGGTCATGTGGGAGGCAGCCAGTCGATGTGTCTCTCTCACTTTGATGTTTCTCCCCGCCGCCCCCCGCCCATCTGAAGATAAATAGAAAAATGTCCTCAGGTGAGGATTAAAAAATAAAATATGAATAATTCTGAATGCCAATACTTATCATGTCCCAAAGATTCCTGATGAGTGATTGTGAACCTGTGTTAACACTTTTCTAAATGTCCAGCATTTGAAACTATACCTATAAAAAAAAGTGGGTTTTTTTCTTGGTAAATAAAATTTCCTTTAAGGATCTTTCCAGCAGAAACAGACTCGATTTTCAGATATAAGATCAGGCACAGCAGGTCAAGCCGAGGTGGGCATGTGGGAGATGACATTCTAAAACAGAAGCAGGCATTTTCTCTGCAGTCTTTGTTTCATTAATGTATTATCTTGTCTCTATGACACTAGTAATTATAGTTTTTGAGAAGTTTTCCTCTGCTCCCTGCATTGTCTCTATTTCTCATAAGGTTTTTCCTATGTTGTTTTTTGTTGTCTCTTTTGATTTCTGCCTTCCATGTTTCAAACCTTCTCAAATATCTGGTGATCCTTAATAGTCTTCTTAATTTAAAAGTGACACACTACAAGGCTAACCAGCAGCTCTGTGTGGGGGCAGGACTGCTGGACTGACCGGTGAATCTTACAAGAAAGGAATTGAAAGTAATCGGTCCATTTTATTAATTTTTTTTATTTTTATTTTTTATTTTTTCATTTTCACGCGAGGACATTTTTCGATATTTTGTTCAGAGTGATAGGAAGAGGGAGGGAGAGAGAGAGAGAGAGAGAAACATCATTGTGAAAGGGACACATCGAGTGGCTGCCACCCACACGACCCAACCAGGGTCGGGGACAAACTGCAACTGAGGTACATGCCCTTAGCAGGAACCGAACCAGGGTCTCTCCAAACTGCAGGCCAACGCTCTAACCGCTGAGCCAAACCGGCCAGGGCTGGTCCATTTTATTTAAAGAACCCTAAATAGCAATATCTATAGGCCTTTTCCCTTGGGCTATTTAGTTTATGGAGAGATTCCTCTCATCTTATAAGGAAAAGGGAGTATAACCCTAGCTTGCCAGTACTGTAGGAACCCACACACAAAAAATAAGGTCGGGAGGGGTGATCTCACTGTTCAGTATGTAGACTTGTATTCACTCCCTCTGTTTTAGAATGGCATCTCACACCTGCCTGTCTCAGCTTGGCCTGCTGTGCCTGATCTTAATCAGGTCTGAAAATTGAGTTTGTTCCTGGGAAAGACCATTAAAAGAAATTTTAGTTACCAGGAAAAAGAAAACCAACTTTTTTTTTACAGGCATAGTTTCAAATGTCAGACATTTAGAAAAGTTATAACACAGGTTCATAATTACTTATCAGGAATCTTTGGGACCTAATAAGCATTAGAATTCAGAATTCTTCATCTTTTAGAAAACTAATATGTTAAATAAATCATATATCACATCACATCCACTGCAGGATCGGGGCATCTCTTCATAATTATATGGATTAATATCTCTGCCACAAAACAAATAAATATAAAACTAAGTAGGTTAAATAAAGAATTATAAATAGACTCACATCAATCCAGGTCAAGTTTTGCCACCAAATGGGTTAAAAATAAAACTTGGCTTTCACAGGTTTTTATATCTGAAAATGGAAGATTAGTGATGTGTATGCTTTTCCTATGTGCTTCCTACACCTCTTGTCACATGAGGGGCACTTCACAGGGACTCTGCCACTCTGAGGGGCTGCTTGAGAATACAGCACAGTTCTGTCTTGGACTTGTCATCACTGAGGTGTCTATTAGACACCCAAGGAAATTTGTGCATAGATGAGTGGATATATGTGGTGGCCGGAAAAAAGGTCTGGGATAGAGCTATAAATTGAGGCTGTCAACATGTGGGTGGCAGGAGGTCGCCAGGGAGTGAGGAGACAGGGAAGAGGCCAAGTCTAAGAGCTGCTCCCTGGGGCGTTCCGAAAGGAACAAGTGAAGGTGAACCAACAAAAGAAACTGAGAAGGGAAAGCCAGTGAGAGACGAGGAGAACCAAAGAAAGTGATAGTCCAGAAGCCAAGAGTCGACATTTTTGAAGGGGGGTGGAATTATCAACTATATAAAATGCTGCTGACAAATGAAGATTAGGACTGAGATTTGACCAATGGATATGGCAATATGGAGATCACTGGTGAACCCTACGGGTGTTTTTGTGGAGTAATAAGAGCAAAACAGTGAATAGACTGGGTTAAAATAGTGGGAGAAGAACTGCAGGGAGCAAGCACAGATGACTCAAGGAGCAGAGAAATGAGGCAGCAGCTGGACAGGTAGATGAGGTCAGAGATGATATGCCTTTGCATGTGTGTGGGCGGAAGAAACAACACCATAGATGGGGTGGGGGTGGGGGAGATGATCCAGCAGAGAAACACTGGAAAAAGAATTGCTGGTCATGTCCTCAATTAAGGGAACAGGATGCAGTATAAGTAAAGGGGTTTGTCCTACATAGAAGCAGAAACAATTCATCATCCAGTGTTACAGGAAGAAAGAATACAGGGCATAGGTTTGGTAGTGGGAAGGTGTGAACGTTTTCTTTTGCCATTATTTTCTCAGGTGAGTGGGAAACAAGGTTCTCAACTGAGAGGAAGGATGAAGAGGAGGTGTTAAAGGTTTGAAGAGAGAGAAAAAGGTGTGAAACCGTCATCTAGATTAGAGAATGGCAGTGGTCCTCATCCAAGGCTGATCATTAGAATAACTGCAGAGCTTAAAAAAAAAAGATACTAATGCCCAGGTCCACCCCACAAAGACTTTAATTTCATTAATTTTGGGTGAAATTCAGGCAGCAGTAATTTTTATAATGTCCCCCAGCTGATGCTAATAGAAGCCAGAATTGACACCACCAAAGTCCACTCAAGGGCCATGGCCATGAATTAGAGAGGGGTCTGTCAGGATGATGGCATGCTTCTACAGTGACATTTAGCTGTGTGGAGCAGGCAGGGTGTACAGCAAGAGAGCTGGATATAGCTAGGGTTAAATGGACTACCCGTAAAGCCTACAACATGCCTGGACATTATAAGAGTTCAGTAAAGAAAGCATGCTATGTTTCTTTTTATCACCAACTAAGAGACACATACCAGCCTTGTAGCAAATATAATTTTGTTTTTATCTCATCCAAAATGATTCATCCAATTTGTATATATCTTAGGGTTTTGAAGTCGTCTGCGAATAATTAAAATCACAAATGTATATCCTTCAATATCCAGGAGTCTCCTCTGGGGGGTGTGTGTGTGTGGTTTGACATTGAGCATTGCACATGGGGTCGCTGGAATTCGGAGGTCACCCCTCCTACTCACTCTTCCTCGTGTCCCAATTTGACAAGTTTTGTGCCAAGGTTTTCTGAAGCCCCCTCCAGTCCACAACACTTGAAGCCTGCATTTTAGGGCTTCCACATTTGCAATTCCTGCCTGTTAATCTGTTCTACTCCCTCTGGGAAGGCCCACCCTTGATCCTAGCCCTGAGCCTAGAGAAAGCTCTGTGATGATAAGTACCATCTCAGTACCGTCTCTCCAAGTCAAGTCTGGCTGGTCCATGTCCACCCAACTGATGGAGACAGGCTACAGATTCTATCCCAAGCCAAACTGTGTGGGATCCAATGCCAGCAGAGGGCATAGCCCTGTGGGCTCATCTGCTGGGGAAACCCCTACTTGTCAGCTCCTGCTTCCTCCCACAACAGTTAGATCTAATGTCAAACCTTTGTGTGATCCTCCTTCTGTTCTCCACACACCCCACCCTAACTGCCTACAAACCCTTCCTGTGGGGGGGTCTGGCCTCTTCCTCTCTGACCCCACCCTGCCTCTTGCTCCCAGAGCAATGCGTGCCGCTCCCATGCATCTGTGCCCAGACCACACGTGCCCATCTCTCCTCCTAGGTGGAGGCCCCTCCTAGGAGAGACTGGACCTGTGTTTCTGCATATCCGCAGTGCCTAGCAGAGTGTCTGGCCCATTAGATGACCAGAAACTGAGAATAACCATTGACAAGTGCGGTGGCATTAAAAAGGACTACCGTTTATTGGTCACTAAACACAAGCGGGCACCAGGTGAAGCACTAGATAGCACTCCCACAATGCTATGAGGTAGGAATGAGCCATACAGACTACAGATGAGACACTGAGGGTCAGAGACGTTCCCATGTTCACACAGCTGACCAGTGCCACATCGAGAATGAAACCCAAATCTACTGGCTGCAAAGCATGTGGTCCCCCCCCACCGAACAATATGACAAAGGCTTTCTCAGAAAGGTGCCCCTGCAGATGGTGACGGGGGAGGCAGTGACTTGCCCACAGTCCTCCCACTGGGAGTCACCCAAACTGTCTGGGAGACAAGGGTAGAACTCTCCAAGGGCAGAAGCATTTCTCGGGAAGGAGGGGGAGCTTTCTTCTATCTCCCCACTACCCATTGTTTTCTCTCCTCCAAATTTACAGATGTAGACAGATGTTTACTGGGTAGACAAAAAAGGAACTAGCACAGCCCTCCAGCAAGAAGCACCTTCTGGAGATTTCAGACTAATGCTGTCAGGAACCAGCCCCAGCTCAGGCCCTAGGCCAGCCCCCTCCCAACACGACAATCGACAAAGGCAATCCTTGCAGTCTGCTTAGGTGTATGATGATTCAGACTAACTGCCTTTGTCAGAGCTCCCTCACTGCCTTCCTCCCTCTCTCACCCGAGACTCTCTCTCCCAGGGCTTGGGCTCCCAATAGGATCAGAAAAACAGAGTAAGGTCCCAAACCTGACTCCCACTAGGGCTCAGCTCCATGGATCAGTCCAGAGAACGTTCCATATTGCATCTTGCTGCTTGCCTCCCATTCAAGACCAGGGGTGGCAGGTAGGAAAAGGACTGTCCTGTGGGCCAGGAGGACCCATCAGAGCCCTAGGTGTTCCCCACCATGGGCTCCTGCAACCCCACATTACCTAGAGAGCACCAGCTCACGCCCAGTGCGGGCTGAGTGCATCCTGGTCTCAGCAGGCAGACAGGTGCATCAGGAGAGCTGAGCTCATTCCATGAGCCTCCTCAGGGCTGGGCTCTGTGCTGGGTCCAGGGCTGTGCAGAGCCCAGTCAGCGTCCTGCCTTTCAGGAGGCCATCGTCTAACAGAGCCACCTTCATGTAACACAGTGAGTACCGTACAAGAGATAAAGGTCTTCTCTTTCCTTTGAATGTCACGGACTTGAGGAGCTTCTCCTGAGCTGGGAATGAGCTGAAAGGCCAGTCTGGGCACAGTAGAAACCAGTGAGATGAGGAAAGAACTGATCACTGCTGCAGTAAGAAGTTGGCTCTCTCAAAAACCCCCACCCCCACCATCCCAACACACAGCACACACAACAAGGCTTTTGGAAGCCCAGCGGCACTCCAGGCCCCATCCCAGACCCTAGAACAGTCCTGATCCTTCCTGGAGCAAATGTGAGTTGCTCAGGCCACACTAGCTCAGTGCTGAGGTCCGGCTGCTGGCTCACCTGTTATGTTGTGTCAGAGCCCAATGTCTCTGAGGCCAGGGCCTGCCTTGTCCTCAGCAGGACTTCTGAAGAAGCACTGCTCCAGAGTCTCCTGACAGCTTTAGCCCTCCTATCCCTTTTCTAGACCACGAGCCTCTACCAGACAGGCGTAGCACGGGCCTGCTCGCCAGGCAGCTCTGACATTCCTTCCTGTAGCCTGGCATGTCTGGAACACCCTCCTCTGCCCTGCATAACTCACCAAGCTGCTGACAGCCATCCCAACTCAACTCCCTGTCCCAGACTTTCCCAGCAACCCCGAAGGCAGGCCAACTGCTGGCCTCCCTGCGTTCCCTCCCGCTGCGGCCCCCAGCTGGTTATCTGAGTCAGGAGAGCACAGCGTTTCGCCTGTTAACCAAGTTGTTTGTTGCAGGCCTGCAGGGACCGTGTCCATGACTGTGGGAGTCTTTATAGACACCTGTGGGTACTTTAACAGATGTCTGTAAGTTCGCAGAAGAACAACGGGTGTGTCAGCAATAACAAACCCTTCTGTGTGGCTCTTTTATACTTTCTCATCGTTTCACATCTATGATCTAATTTGAACATAAACACAAATACAAGGGTCAACAGCCGCACCATTATTATCCCCTTTTTTGGATAAGGAAACTAGGGTTCAAGTTAAGTAGCTTGAGGCCACACAGCTACAGGATAGCAGAGTCTGAACCACAGTTTAATCTTTTATATTTATCTATAAAATGTACACTGAAAGCCCTGGC